TCTCCTCCTCATCTACTCCTCTCTTTTATCTACTACTCCTCTCCCTCCTACAACTATTCCTCTCCCTCGCCAAGATATAATTAGCTTCTCTCTCTGCTCTCTTGGCTGAGTTGTTCTGCACCACATTGAGCATAACCAATTTAAAGAGTCCTATTTTACTGTGTGAAGTCTAATGCTTCCAACTGAGGTTGGATCAAGCTATTTCTCAATATTTCAGTGATCTGTTACCCAAAAATGCTTATCGGATGTTTCAATATATATATATATTTTTTTTGAGTAATTTTGAGTTGCTGTTGTAGCAGGAGTAGAGGCTTTGTTTTAAGCTTGTGTGAAAATAAAATAAAAAATATTTTAGAAACGTGTTAATGGTCACAATGGTTACAACAGACGGACGTTGTGCTAATTGTGTTTAGAGTTTTGAAAATGTGACGACAGATTGAAAAAAACTTTAAGCTAAAATTGTATCACTCAGTAGTATGTGCCTTGTCATTATAATTAATCTTACATTCTACAGAACTGCTGCATGATTATGGGTGGCCAAAACGATTTAGTATTTCTGGTTCCATTGTCCTGAAGTCAGTGGGTTTTTAATAAATTGGTTCTTGGTGAAATAAGTCTGTGGTTAACACAATGTCAACATATTTTCACATTTTATTCTACGACATAATACACCAGTAATACACCCTAGTGATTTTAAAGCTTTGCAAATGTCTTTGCAAAACATTAAAGCAAATGTCATGTCCATAATGCTGGACTTCCCCAATTTTAAATAATTTATCCTCAACTAGTTTTGTGGTGTAGGTCTACGTATTTTATAATGTTAACTTCAAATAATACTAATAGCCTAATTTAAAGATAAGGCAGCATTGGATCTGGACGGTAAGGAGAATAACGCTGGAGTTGGAAGAGGTGTGTCGCGATTCTGTAGGTTTGTGGATCTGAGTCGTGTGGCGAATCGCGATTTCGGTTTCATATTGCACATCGTTACAGCCCCAAAGTTAAGTTCTACTTAATTATTTTGGTGAAAGTAACTCAAAAGTAATACATGAGTAATGTAACGCATTACAATTCTGGGACAGTAATATTGTAAGGTAATGAATTACTTTTAAATTACAGTAACAAGTAATACCTAATGTATTACAGTTTGGAAGTAACTTGCACAACACTGATTAAGACATATATGTATGATGTCAAGGGTAGGCTACTACCATCAGATCACAACAGATGACAGCATGAGTAAAAGGAGACATCAATTTGAATATGAAGTACAGTAGCACAGAGGCCTTTTAAATTAAATTAGGCCTACATATCACTCAACATTATCATAGGCCTACATTTTTACAAATTTGGCACTTTTTTGTTATTAATTCTTTTTAGTGTCTTAATAAAATAATTGAAGTCACAGAGAAAAATATTTAATCTGGGTATTCTTAAAGAATGTTTGCATTTATGAATGAAATATTTTGCCAATAAAACAAAAATATTTCCTAAATATTCTATTTTATGATTACAATTCGAAAAATAACAACAAATTCACCCAATGTTAAATCAATTTTCCAATTTTAGTTTTGAAACTAAGAGCTTTGACAATCAAAGGGAACACCCAAAGAAAAGATGATCCACTGACTCAGTTCAACTGTTGTTCAGTGTTATGATAACAGTTTAAATGTCGTAATTAGCCAAATAAAATGTGATATTTGTGATATTTAAACTGTGTATTATTGTTTATTTGTTCTGGTGAACACAAAGGAAGATATTTAGAAGAATGTTTTAATTAAACAGATCTCATTCCCCATTGACTACCATAGTAGGAAAAAAATACATACTATGATAGTCAATGGGGAATGAGATCTGTTTGATTAAAACATTCTTCCAAATATCTTCCTTTGTGTTCAGCAGAACAAATAGAGGTTTGGAACAACATGAGGGTGAGTAAGACAGAACTTTCATTTTTGGGTGAACTCAAATATCTTGTTCCTGTTTTATAGCTAGCTACGTTTTAACCAGCGCTAATTTAAATAAAATGAACAAATTTAAATGGATGAATAAACAATTGTTGCCCAATTGTTATTTTCTTTATTTATTTGTAATGAACGGTTAGTTAATTTACATAATTAAAATAGGTGTCTCAATAACACAGTCTCATCCCAAATCGTCATATAACTGACGTTTTGGGACGTATTTTGACCATACGTCAATATCCGCCTTTTTAGGGCCCCCTTAAACGTCGGTAGATGGCGATCCCGGGCCGTCATACAACTGACGCTTTACCTTTAACGTCGTCATACAACTGACGCTTTACCTTTAACGTCAGTTAGGTGACGGGTTAGGTTTAGGGTTAAGTTTAGGTATGGGGTAGAGTTAGGATCCCATAACCTCATCTACCGACGTTTAAGGGGGCCCTAAAAAGGCGAATATTGACGTATGGTCAAAAGACGTCCCAAAACGTCAGTTATATGACGATTTGGGATGAGACCGGGTTGGTCTCAACTGCACCATGGTACCACATATGGGCGCAGTTGACACAAAAAGCACTTTATATTCGAGCTAATTGTAATACTGTGTCTAAGCTAATAAATGTCATGTGGAAATTCACTACTTTTTCGGTATTTTTGTGTGAAAAATCAAGTCTCAACTGTACTCAGTCTACCCTACATTCAATCATAAATATAACAGTGTTGGATATGTCTAATAGATATTCCATTCTAGACAGTTGAACTCTATTTCTGAATATATGAACGCGTCGTCGTGCCCTCTGGTTCGAGAAAAAGGACGTTCGGATTGCAGCTCACCTTTTTTAAAATTGCTGTCAGTGTTATGTAGATGCTTTACACCCTGTGTGAATCCGGCATAGCAGGACGCGACGGATGTGAGATTCTGCAGGTATTATGACAGAGCGTCTTTGCATTGTAATGGATTTGTTGTATAGTTGTTCCTGCTGGCTCGCCGCTGGCCCCTGCTGATGTCATCTAAACGTGCACGCGGGTGGCGGCTGAACGTACAGCAGTGAGATTGACTGACTGACTGAGGAAAATGGAGACAGAGGAGCTTCAGAGCTCTGCGGAGGGCCAGGAGATACAAACACACACCTGTGATGTCTCACTACGGTGAAATGAGAGGTTTCACAGTCCTAATTGCGGTCTGCAAGATGTGTGTGAGATTGCATTGGGATTCAACACTGTCACTCTGCGTGTTTTCAGATCCTCTCCACAGTCTGCTGTAACTCTACTGACCTTCTGCAGAGATTGTTTTACATTAACTTTGGAGGACAGTGTCTCTAATAGGCTACTTCATTCTGCAGTCCAGCTGGATCATGTGTGTTAACCAGCGGGTCGAGGTTTGACTGGTTAGTGGTTTCAAGTTAAAGTTAGTGTCCCTGTTTGGACTGGAGATGTCCAGCTTTCAAAATTAGCCATGTATTCTGCACCTTTTTTTTTTTAATTTTTTTTGACAAGGCCTTATGTTACAGGAGATGTTTTTGCCTCAACCTCAGAACAGGTTAGTGTCAATCATGTTGGCTGCAATTACAGATGAAGAGTTCAGATGCAAAAGCCTCTAAATGCCATTTGAAATTTTCTTCTTTAATGATGATTTTTATCAAACTTGTATATTTAAGTTTAGTAATTTCACTTAAATAACAATTAATAGGTAATCTTCATTGCCATTTAAGTGAAATCACTGAACTTAAATATACAAGCTTGATAAAAATGATCATTCTAGAAGAAAATTTCAAATGGCACTTAGAGGCTTTTGCATCTGAACTCTTCAGATACAGTTATGTAATACTTAATCTACACACCATAAATCATATCAGAACTTTTGCATGTTTAATGTAAAAATGTCCATATAATGGACTTCACTGGGTACCAAACGGTTCAAGGTCCAAATAAGAGTTTCAGTACAGCTTCAAAGGGCTTTAAACGACACCAGAGGATGAATAAGGGTCTTATCTAGCGAAACGATCGCTCATTTAAAAAATAAATAATTTTTTAAAAAGTTTTATAAGCTCAAATGCGCGCCTTGCTCTGTTCTGTGATGCGCGTGACTCTCCTGTTCGAACTCGTTCATCAAAATGAACAAATCTTTTTTCCAGTCACTCGTACAAAGATTTGTTCGTTTTGATGAACGAGGTCGAACAGGAGAGTCACGAACGCGCATCACAAAACAGAGCAAGGCGAGCATTTATGCTTAGAAAACTATTTATTTTTTAAATTACTGATCGTTTTTCGCTTGATAAGACCCGTATTCGTCTGGTGTCCTTTAAAGCCCTTTGAAGCTGCACTCAATCTCTCATTTGGACCTTGAACCGTTTGGTTCCCAATGAAGTCCATTATATGGAGAAAATGCTGTAATGTTTTCATAAAAAACCTTAATTTCTTTTCGACTGAAGAAAGAAAGACATGGAAAATCTTGGATGACATGGGGGTGAGTAAATTATCAGCAATTTTTTTTAAAAAAAAGTGAACTACTCCTTTAATTATGTTTTGAGTCATCAGTGTCACATCACCTTTCCTTTTCATTACACTTTTTAATTGTTTGGGTATTGAGGACCCTACTTGTTGCAGTGGAAGTGTAATTTTTACACTTCTTTTTGATTTTTATTTTATCGTCTGATATAAGACAGTCAGTTTTCCCAAAACTAGCTGAAACATGGACTCATCTGAGCTCTGCACACATTTCCACTGTGTTTTGGATGACCGGATATGAGCTCGGGCTCAGAGAACTCGCCAGCATCTCCTCATAGAACTGATGTATAGCTTTCTCCAAGCGGAGCAGAGATTCAAGTTGCATTTCTACAAAATACAATTAAGTTGTTCAGTGAAAACATCGGAAATCTTTTCTTTGTACTTTTGTCAGTTAAATAAATTTAAAAGAGAATTAACAAATCATAGACTCTTGTTTTTTTTTTGTACAAAGTACATCATGCCTGACTGTGGAATCATTGTATGTATTTACTGTTATGGGATCTAACAGGGAATAAAAATAATAAAAAGACAGACTTAATTGTATTGTCATTTATTGAAATAAATCACAATAGTTGTTTTCAAATGCAGAAATTATTGGACATTCACTTAAACATGAGGAACACTGTAGAAAACAAGGTTTTGAAATCCTCAAACCTACTTTCTGCTTGTGAATACTACAGGATAGACTGATGACTTCAAACTGATTGAGATAAATCAGAAGACATTTACCAAAGTTTTGGTTTAGAAAAAGTATTGAGATATACAAAGACATTCAAAGAGGTTCTGCAAAAGTTACTGTTAGCGTTTCAAACAGGAGAGGGACACTGGAAAAGGAAGACCTTGATCTCGAAAAGAGCGATTCAGACAGTCTTTAAATCAACCCAGTATATTGATATGTATAATAAATACATGATTGTGCCTCTGCTAAGGTGGAGAGGAACAAAATCCATCATAAACAGGAGAAAAAAAAAAGAGCAAAGAGTCACAAATTACTCCAGCATTTGGTCCAGAGCTAGACAGCAGAAATCTCCACTGGTGATGCTGAATGTGTCCCACTGAAACCTTCTACAAGAGGTAGATCTGGAGATTTCTCTAGGTTTGTCATCGAGTTTGATAGAGTACAACGGTTTACTAGTATTGCCAACAGTTTGATGTTAGGGTGAATCTTACAAAACCTCTCAAAGATGTTTCATTTTCCATATTTCGACCCCAAAATCAAAAGAAAACAGCAACATTTTAAAGAGATATTTTTAGGACATTTTCTACTAAATGACAATTAACCATTCTTACTGCATTACAAAAAATAAAAATGAAATACAAATGTAGTTTTGCTCAAATCTGTGTAAATTTAAGGCAGTAAATCGAACAAAGATTTTTGTTTTGTGAATTTGTTGAAAATGTGTTTAACTATCATGAAAATCTAAGTATTTTCTTTTGTCTTATGAGCCAGACAATGGCTCAATGAGATTCGTCTGTGTAAATGGTTTATATTTGGCTGTGCATAATGAGCTGAGAGTTTAACACACACAGCGAAACCTGGATAGAAAAACAGAAACATTCATTATGGTTTTTGTTTTTGCATGCAAAAGTTAAGGCTTCTGGTTGTGGGTCGACAGGGAGGCCTTCTGCTCTCGCACTAAGAATCGCACCTACGGTCAACGGTACATATTTTCATTCCAAACAAAAGCAGAATCAAAGGTTTGCAGACAGAAATAACTTCATTTCCAAAGAGAGAGATGATTACAGCTTTGGTGGTTTCCACGAGGATCAAGCGGAAAGGCGTTGGGCGGCTAGCTCCTCAGCATCGTCACGGTTCTCGTTGATCTCCACCAGTGTTCGCACAAACCGGGTCCATTCGTCGTTCCGCGGGACTGCAATTTGCTATGGAGAGAGGAGGTAAACGGGTAAAAGGTAAACAGTGTGTAATATGTTAGTGTTCTGTAAAGAGGTGTAAACAGTGTGTAATATGTGAGTGTTTTGTAAAGGGGTGTAAACAGTGTGTAATATCTGAGTGTTTTGTAAAAAAGTGTTAACTGTGTAATATGTGAGTGTTTTGTAAAGGGGTGTAAACAGTGTGTAATATGTTAGTGTTTTGTAAAGGGGTGTAAATAGTGTGTAATATGCGAGTGTTTTTTAAAGGGGTGTAAACAGTGTGTAATATGTGAGTGTTTTGTAAAGAAGTGTAAACAGTGTGTAATATGTGAGTGTTTTGTAAAGGGGCGTAAACAGTGTGTAATATGTGAGTGTTTTGTAAAGAGGTGTAAACAGTGTGTAATATGTTAGTGTTTTGTAAAGGGGTGTAAACAGTGTGTAATATGTTAGTGTTTTGTAAAGGGGTGTAAACAGTGTGTAATATTTGAGTGTTTTGTAAAGGGGTGTAAACAGTGTGTAATATGTGAGTATTTTGTAATGGGGTTTAAACAGTGTGTAATATCTGAGTGTTTTGTAAAAAAGTGTTAACTGTGTAATATGTGAGTGTTTTGTAAAGGGGTGTAAACAGTGTGTAATATGTTAGTGTTTTGTAAAGGGGTGTAAATAGTGTGTAATATGCGAGTGTTTTTTAAAGGGGTGTAAACAGTGTGTAATATGTGAGTGTTTTGTAAAGAAGTGTAAACAGTGTGTAATATGTGAGTGTTTTGTAAAGGGGCGTAAACAGTGTGTAATATGTGAGTGTTTTGTAAAGAGGTGTAAACAGTGTGTAATATGTTAGTGTTTTGTAAAGGGGTGTAAACAGTGTGTAATATGTTAGTGTTTTGTAAAGGGGTGTAAACAGTGTGTAATATCTGAGTGTTTTGTAAAAAAGTGTTAACTGTGTAATATGTGAGTGTTTTGTAAAGGGGTGTAAACAGTGTGTAATATGTTAGTGTTTTGTAAAGGGGTGTAAATAGTGTGTAATATGCGAGTGTTTTTTAAAGGGGTGTAAACAGTGTGTAATATGTGAGTGTTTTGTAAAGAAGTGTAAACAGTGTGTAATATGTGAGTGTTTTGTAAAGAGGTGTAAACAGTGTGTAATATGTTAGTGTTTTGTAAAGAGGTGTAAACAGTGTGTAATATGTTAGTGTTTTGTAAAGGGGTGTAAACAGTGTGTGATATCTGAGTGTTTTGTAAAAAAGTGTTAACTGTGTAATATGTGAGTGTTTTGTAAAGGGGTGTAAACAGTGTGTAATATGTGAGTGTTTTGTAAAGGGGTGTAAACAGTGTGTAATATGTGAGTGTTTTGTAAAGGGGTGTAAACAGTGTGTAATATGTTAGTGTTTTGTAAAGGGGTGTAAATAGTGTGTAATATGCGAGTGTTTTTTAAAGGGGTGTAAACAGTGTGTAATATGTGAGTGTTTTGTAAAGAAGTGTAAACAGTGTGTAATACGTGAGTGTTTTGTAAAGGGGCGTAAACAGTGTGTAATATGTGAGTGTTTTGTAAAGAGGTGTAAACAGTGTGTAATATGTTAGTGTTTGGTAAAGGGGTGTAAACAGTGTGTAATATGTTAGTGTTTTGTAAAGGGGTGTAAACAGTGTGTAATATTTGAGTGTTTTGTAAAGGGGTGTAAACAGTGTGTAATATGTGAGTATTTTGTAATGGGGTTTAAACAGTGTGTAATATCTGAGTGTTTTGTAAAAAAGTGTTAACTGTGTAATATGTGAGTGTTTTGTAAAGGGGTGTAAACAGTGTGTAATATGTTAGTGTTTTGTAAAGGGGTGTAAATAGTGTTTAATATGCGAGTGTTTTTAAAGGGGTGTAAACAGTGTGTAATATGTGAGTGTTTTGTAAAGAAGTGTAAACAGTGTGTAATATGTGAGTGTTTTGTAAAGGGGCGTAAACAGTGTGTAATATGTGAGTGTTTTGTAAAGAGGTGTAAACAGTGTGTAATATGTTAGTGTTTGGTAAAGGGGTGTAAACAGTGTGTAATATGTTAGTGTTTTGTAAAGAGGTGTAAACAGTGTGTAATATGTTAGTGTTTTGTAAAGGGGTGTAAACAGTGTGTAATATGTTAGTGTTTTGTAAAGAAGTGTAAACAGTGTGTAATATGTGAGTGTTTTGTAAAGGGGTGTAAACAGTGTGTAATATGTTAGTGTTTTGTAAAGGAGTGTAAACAGTGTGTAGTACGTTAGTGTTTTGTAAAGGGGTGTAAACAGTGTGTAATACGTTAGTGTTTTGTAAACGGGTGTAAACAGTGTGTAATATGTGAGTGTTTTGTAAAGGGGTGTAAACAGTGTGTAGTACGTTAGTGTTTTGTAAAGGGGTGTAAACAGTGTGTAATACGTTAATGTTTTGTAAAGGGGTGTAAATAGTGTGTAAAATATGAGTGTTTTGTAAAGGGGTGTAATATGTGTGTAATACGTTAGTGTTTTGTAAAGGGGTGTAAATAGTGTGTAAAATATGAGTGTTTTGTAAGGGGGTGTAAACAGTGTGTAATATGTTAGTGTTTTGTAAAGGGGTGTAAACAGTGTGTAATACGTTAGTGTTTTGTAAAGGGGTGTAAATAGTGTGTAAAATATGAGTGTTTTGTAAAGGGGTGTAAACAGTGTGTAATATGTTAGTGTTTTGTAAAGGGGTGTAAATAGTGTGTAAAATATGAGTGTTTTGTAAAGGGGTGTAAACAGTGTGTAATATGTGAGTGTTTTGTAAAGGGGTGTAAACAGTGTGTAGTACGTTAGTGTTTTGTAAAGGGGTGTAAACAGTGTGTAATACGTTAGTGTTTTGTAAAGGGGTGTAAATAGTGTGTAAAATATGAGTGTTTTGTAAAGGGGTGTAAACAGTGTGTAATATGTTAGTGTTTTGTAAAGGGGTGTAAACAGTGTGTAATACGCTAGTGTTTTGTAAAGGGGTGTAAATAGTGTGTAAAATATGAGTGTTTTGTAAAGGGGTGTAAACAGTGTGTAATATGTTAGTGTTTTGTAAAGGGGTGTAAACAGTGTGTAATACGTTAGTGTTTTGTAAAGAGGTGTAAACAGTGTGTAATATGTGAGTGTTTTGTAAAGGGGTGTAAACAGTGTGTAATATGTGTTTTGTAAAGAAGTGTAAACTGTGTAATCTGTTAGTGTTTTGTTAAGAGGTGTAAACAGTGTGTAATATGCGAGTGTTTTGTAAAGGGGTGTAAACAGTGTGTAATACGTTAGTGTTTTGTAAAGGGGTGTAAATAGTGTGTAAAATATGAGTGTTTTGTAAAAGGGTGTAAACAGTGTGTAATATGTTAGTGTTTTGTAAAGGGGTGTAAATAGTGTGTAAAATATGAGTGTTTTGTAAAGGGGTGTAAACAGTGTGTAATATGTTAGTGTTTTGTAAACAGTGTGTAATACGTTAGTGTTTTGTAAAGAGGTGTAAACAGTGTGTAATATATGAGTGTTTTGTAAAGGGGTGTAAACAGTGTGTAATATGTGTTTTGTAAAGAAGTGTAAACAGTGTGTAATCTGTTAGTGTTTTGTAAAGGGGTGTAAACTGTGTGTAATATGTGAGTGTTTTGCAAAGGGGTGTAAACAGTGTGTAATATGTTAGTGTTTTGTAAAGAGGTGTAAACAGTGTGTAATATGTGAGTGTTTTGCAAAGGGGTGTAAACAGTGTGTAATATGTTAGTGTTTTGTAAAGGGGTGTAAACTGTGTGTAATATGTGAGTGTTTTGCAAAGGGGTGTAAACAGTGTGTAATATGAGAGTGTTTTGTAAAGGGGTGTAAACAGTGTGTAATATGTTAGTGTTTTGTAAAGGGGTGTAAACAGTGTGTAATATGTGAGTGTTTTGTAAAGGGGTATAAACAGTGTGTAATACGTTAGTGTTTTGTAAAGGGGTGTAAACAGTGTGTAATATATGAGTGTTTTGTAAAGGGGTGTAAACAGTGTGTAATACGTGAGTGTTTTGTAAAGGGGTGTAAACAGTGTGTAATACGTTAGTGTTTTGTAAAGGGGTGTAAACAGTATGTAATACGTTAGTGTTTTGTAAACGGGTGTAAACAGTGTGTAATATGTGAGTGTTTTGTAAAGGGGTGTAAACAGTGTGTAATATTTGAGTGTTTTGTAAAGGGGTGTAAACAGTGTGTAATATGTTAGTGTTTTGTAAAGGGGTGTAAACAGTGTGTAATATTTGAGTGTTTTGTAAAGGGGTGTAAACAGTGTGTAATATTTGAGTGTTTTGTAAAGGGGTGTGAACAGTGTGTAATATGTGAGTGTTTTGTAAAGGGGTGTAAACTGTGTGTAATATGTGAATATTTTGTAAAGGGGTGTAAACAGTGTGTAATACGTGAGTGTTTCATAAAGGGGTGTAAATAGTGTGTAAAATATGAGTGTTTTGTAAAGGGTTGTAAACAGTGTGTAATATGTTAGTGTTTTGTAAAGGGGTGTAAACAGTGTGTAATATGTGAGTGTTTCGTAAAGAGGTGTAAACTATGTGTAATATGTGAGTGTTTTGTAAAGGGGTGTGAACAGTGTGTAATATGTTAGTGTTTTGTAAAGGGGTGTAAACAGTGTGTAATATTTGAGTGTTTTGTAAAGGGGTGTAAACAGTGTGTAATATTTGAGTGTTTTGTAAAGGGGTGTGAACAGTGTGTAATACGTGAGTGTTTTGTAAAGGGGTGTAAACAGTGTGTAATATGTGAATATTTTGTAAAGGGGTGTAAACAGTGTGTAATACGTGAGTGTTTCATAAAGGGGTGTAAATAGTGTGTAAAATATGAGTGTTTTGTAAAGGGGTGTAAACAGTGTGTAATATGTGAGTGTTTCGTAAAGAGGTGTAAACTATGTGTAATATGTGAGTGTTTTGTAAAGGGGTGTGAACAGTGTGTAATATGTTAGTGTTTTGTAAAGGGGTGTAAACAGTGTGTAATATTTGAGTGTTTTGTAAAGGGGTGTAAACAGTGTGTAATATTTGAGTGTTTTGTAAAGGGGTGTGAACAGTGTGTAATATGTGAGTGTTTTGTAAAGGGGTGTAAACAGTGTGTAATATGTGAATATTTTGTAAAGGGGTGTAAACAGTGTGTAATACGTGAGTGTTTCATAAAGGGGTGTAAATAGTGTGTAAAATATGAGTGTTTTGTAAAGGGGTGTAAACAGTGTGTAATATGTGAGTGTTTCTTAAAAGGGGTTTGAACAGTGTGTAATATGTGAGTGTTTCGTAAAGAGGTGTAAACTATGTGTAATATGTGAGTGTTTTGTAAAGGGGTGTGAACAGTGTGTAATATCAGAGTGTTTTGTAAAAAAGTGTAAACAGTGTGTAATACGTTAGTGTTTTGTAAAGGGGTGTAAACAGTGTGTAATATGTGAGTGTTTTGCAAAGGGGTGTAAACAGTGTGTAATATGTGAGTGTTTTGTAAAGGGGTGTAAACAGTGTGTAATATGTGAGTATTTTGTAAAGGGGTGTAAACAGTGTGTAATATGTTTGTGTTTTGTAAAGGGGTGTAAACAGTGTGTAATATGTGAGTGTTTTGTAAAGGGGTGTAAACAGTGTGTAATACGTTAGTGTTTTGTAAAGGGGTGTAAACAGTGTGTAATATATGAGTGTTTTGTAAAGGGGTGTAAACAGTGTGTAATACGTTAGTGTTTTGTAAAGAGGTGTAAACAGTGTGTAATATGTGAGTGTTTTGTAAAGGGGTGTAAACAGTGTGTAATATGTGTTTTGTAAAGAAGTGTAAACTGTGTAATCTGTTAGTGTTTTGTTAAGAGGTGTAAACAGTGTGTAATATGCGAGTGTTTTGTAAAGGGGTGTAAACAGTGTGTAATACGTTAGTGTTTTGTAAAGGGGTGTAAATAGTGTGTAAAATATGAGTGTTTTGTAAAAGGGTGTAAACAGTGTGTAATATGTTAGTGTTTTGTAAAGGGGTGTAAATAGTGTGTAAAATATGAGTGTTTTGTAAAGGGGTGTAAACAGTGTGTAATATGTTAGTGTTTTGTAAACAGTGTGTAATACGTTAGTGTTTTGTAAAGAGGTGTAAACAGTGTGTAATATGTGAGTGTTTCTTAAAAGGGGTTTGAACAGTGTGTAATATGTGAGTGTTTCGTAAAGAGGTGTAAACTATGTGTAATATGTGAGTGTTTTGTAAAGGGGTGTGAACAGTGTGTAATATCAGAGTGTTTTGTAAAAAAGTGTAAACAGTGTGTAATACGTTAGTGTTTTGTAAAGGGGTGTAAACAGTGTGTAATATGTGAGTGTTTTGCAAAGGGGTGTAAACAGTGTGTAATATGTGAGTGTTTTGTAAAGGGGTGTAAACAGTGTGTAATATGTGAGTATTTTGTAAAGGGGTGTAAACAGTGTGTAATATGTTTGTGTTTTGTAAAGGGGTGTAAACAGTGTGTAATATGTGAGTGTTTTGTAAAGGGGTGTAAACAGTGTGTAATATGTGAGTGTTTTGTAAAGGGGTGTAAACAGTGTGTAATATGTGAGTGTTTTGTAAAGGGGTGTGAACAGTGGACAATCAGGCTATTCTGAGAGTGAACTGACCCCTGGCTAACAATCCCATTTCTCATTCTTCTACTCGCTCTGCTTTCATCCCCTCTTGTGAGTGACAGAGGCCCTCTGTGGCCCCTGAAGGGCCCCTCTCTGACAGACGTGTAATTGGTGTGTGTCATCTTTAGAGGCTCTGCATGGGCTTTTTACACGACTGCCTCGTGAGAGAGCGAGAGTGAGAAAGCCGCCCCGGAGCTGAAGGTGTTGATGAAGGTGAAGTCAGTCTGTGATGTGTGTGTTCAGTAAACTCTACTATCTCACCTCGCCGATGTCGTAGATGTGTATCTGTCCCTCTGAGTCCCCGACAGCGATCTCTCTGCCCGACTGAGACCAGCGCAGTCTGTTCAGAGCAGGACTCCCTTCCACAGCCACGCTGACAGAGGGCACCTGCACACGCACGCACACATTTAGCTTGACTAATAACACCAATAATACAATTCGTTCAGTCAGTATCTAATCCATCCACATTTTTAATCAAAGAGGTCGCGTAACATGTAACAGAAGGACTTCAGCCTGATATTTCAAAAAGAACTTGTTGTCAAACACATGTCAGGGTTCCCACACCTCGGTTAACTTCAAATTCAACGACCATTCAACGACATTCCAGGTCCAACACCCTCAAATTCAAGGACTTAATGTGGGGACAACATAGTGTAAATCAAATAAATTACAAAATATTCCAAATATCTTGAAACTTTTTCCAGGCATCATATTTCAGTGGTTTCAGCCTATTTTTGCAACATTTCACGGTGTGTTTGTGAAACGATGAGGTCCCATCGTAGTCGTTTTGCGCACGCGTGAATGTCATGGCAACGTATAACAAAGTACCTCAAGCGGGAAACACGTAAATGTGAGTAACTGACGTAAATCAAGCAAGTTAATATTCAAGTGTCCCGAAGTGTGGAAATAACACATTAGCGGACCGGAGGGATTTTTTTTTTTCCAGAAAAGCTCTTGCACAAAATAAATTCAAGCACTTTCAAGGACCTGTATCTATTTTCAAAAACTTTCCAGGGCCTTGAATTTTGTTTTTCAGATTCATAAACTTCCAATGATTTCAAGGACCCGTGGGAACTCTGACATGTTGAACTTCAAACAGGACAAGGCTGATCACAACAAACTGTCCAATGCTCATATACTAGTTCTGCTAGCTAAACCCGCAGCCTTTAAGAGTACTTAAAGTCCCCCTGTCGTGAAAATCACATTTTTAATGTTGAAATCGCTGGTGTTTCTGACGTCACAAACTATATTGTAAACAATCAGATCAACGTGTGATTGTCAACGAGTGGATCTCTGAGCTGAGTGAGTGGAGGCGGGACTCATTTGCATACTCAAAGAACCACATGTACTAACTGACGCAAGGGTGTAGAGTAACATTCAAACCAAGAAAAAACTTTAAATATGTAATTTTGGTGATCAAAAGTGAGTTTTAAGGGATAAAATACTTGACTACAGTGGGACTTTAAAAAAAATTCAACTGAAAATGAATTGGATATAATTGTTTATATTTTCCAGCACTACGAAAAGAAATCCGATTTTGTCCCTCAGTGTAGAAGTCTGTGTGGCGAAAATAAATAAAGTTATTTCTGCATATGCAAGTGTGTGTATCAGTGATGTTTCAGAGCACGTATGCTGTTGTAACCTCGGTGTCGTTGTTGAGGTTCCACAGGTCGATGCGTCCGAGTCCGTCGACACAAGCAAACAGGGCGGGATGTACCGGAGACCACATCACATCATACACATAATCCGAGTTATCCTCAAAAGAGTACAGCGGCTTGTTATTCTACAGCAGAGAGAGAAACACACAGTCGGCTGAGAGATTCGTGAATGACAGTGTCAAGTAATGAGTGTGTATGAATGATCCGTTACCTTGCTGCTCCAGAGTTTAACGGTCCAATCAAAAGAGGCGGTCAGGAAGAGATGAGAGAAATCTACCGGCCCAGTCGCTGTGTGACAGTGAATGCCTGTGATTGGACCATGATGTCCCTCGAACATCTCACTGATCCCTGCCCGACTGCTCACACACACAGAATGACGGAGGGTTAATAACCTCAGCATGTTTCCATCAGTCAGGTAACACTTCACATTACTAACACACACACACACATACCGCTGAGTGTGTGTGAGCTCATTACTGTGAGAGGTAAACAGCCGAGAGAGATGCTGAGAGTGTGTGTAGAGGATGAGATAATCACAGCATCACAAATGAAGAGGAAACATTCGCTCTCTCAGCTCAGTGCAGCACACACAAACACATCTACTATATCCCATTCATAAACTGCTGATTTCATATCTCTTTTTTTAAATGGTGCAGGAACTTCCATTCAGAGCAATAAAGTTTTGGGGAGATAACAGATGACGATCATAATATGATTTCTGCTTCAGTAAATCTCTACAGTAGACACTATTATTAATACATATATATATACACACACACACCACATATATATATATATATATATATATATATACACACACACACACCACACACACATATATATATATATATATATATATATACATACACACACACACACACCTCTTTATTATTCAATGATACTTATTCAATTATTGACATACAATAAGTCATTATTACCATTTATAATATTTTATTAATTACTATATAGTAATTACAACAAATTTGTGAACTAAACAAGCATGTTGATCAGTCCACTAAAGAAACATTAAAACATGCCTTTCCACAAATTTCCCCTTTCAAAAATATGTTCATGTAATCATATTATACATTGAACTATGTGTAATCCACATTTCCATAAATATAAAATGAAATATATATATATATATATATATATATATATATATATATATATATATATATATCTTACAGTTACATGGCACGTTTCTGGTCTCAAATCAAATTGTAGCTTTTTTATTTCTGAAAATTTTTCATTTTTCTTTTCACTAACATTGCATGTGGTAATAAACAATTAGTAATGCTTTAACCTTTATCCGTATGATTGGGGAAAAAATCACTTCGATAAAGCAAATGTATCTACATATAATAAGAACACACGTGACAAAAGAACGAACGACTCGAACCCGAAGACTCGCGAACGACTACTACGTTTATGAGGATGTCCCGGAACGACTCAGATCGGGACTGCAGACCCAGTTAAGCAATGAATTAATCATTTCTGTCTCTCATAATTTGGCATTGCAACTTTTTTCTTATTCTAAATGTGATCAACACTTTGTGAATTGATGTGTTGGGGAAGTTGGCTATTAACATTTTAATTCTATTCTTCTGAAGTGAACGAAATGACTTAGAGAGTTTTAGAAGACTTAGAAACTTAGAAGTTTAATTGGCACGGACTGAAGACGGATGGGAGAATAGAGAAGACCAGGAGAGCTGTGTCCTCAGACCTGCAGTATCACAGTGACGTCAAAATAAAAGTCTGCCGTCTCGTCAAAATAAAAGTTCAGTGTCCAATATATCGGCCACACAGAAAAACTTCAATCTAAAAAATGACAAATATTGGCTGATATATCAGTTGACCACTAATTTTGTGAGAAAGAAAATAATCAGATTACATGCACAGATCCAGAGATCTCCTGCAGTGAACAGTGTGTGTAAGTGTGTGCGTATTACCTGCCATGGCGACAGGCTGCGTACACTGATCCATCCTCACTCCCCACCACAAAGTTATTAACGTCACCCAGAGGGAAGGACATGGAGGTGACCGCAACGGATTTAGACTGCTTAAACACCAGCTCCATACTGTCCTGTTGACACACACATACATCAATAAAGGCCATTGCACACTGATTACGAAATTTTCGGATGCGTATTTTCGTGTTCGTCAGCCTAAAAATTCGTCACGCATAGAAACCTTGCACACCGAGTCCGTTGCGTATTTATTAAACTTTTGCGGGAAAAAACGCAAAAATACCAAATGGATTCGTCAAGCAGTGAGGATGATTTTTGCCCTCTCTCATATTGAAAAGAGAAGAAAGAGAAAATATTACGTCCATCCAATCCTGAAATTGCGCCGAGAGGAAGGAGAGCTCCCCCCAGCCCTGAATTGTCAAAAGACCTCTCAAAATGCTGGCTCTGGATGCGAAAAACGCAGAAAATCGAACCCGATCCGATTAATTTTATGACGGACGAACGTTTCGGAGGCGGTGTGCAAGCGTGACTGACATAACGTGAGGTCGAATTTTTTTTTTAACATGCGAACATTTCGGATGCGAATTTCGGACACCGCAGCCAATAGTCTCTCTCACAGATTAGAAATACGTAATTTAAATTCAGCTGGCGTTTTACCAATCATTAACAACTGACATTGTGGTTTGGCAAATGTTCTTGGAAACTCAAGGATGAGTTAATGGTATACTAACTCCAAATACAGCTCCCTCTGTGTGTGTTTGTGTGTGTGTGTGGCAGCAGGGAAGAGGTTGTGGCTCTCAGTGAGTCAGTGCTTCTGAAGCCAACAAATCACTTCCCTTTGGCATTTGTCGGTAAGTCTTGTCCACAACATTCACTATATTTACTGGTCGAGTGAGCAAGTTGTTTCTTTGAGTAGGATATTCAAACTCTGAAAACATGAATTTTTGAAGGCAGGGGTCACGTGAGGGCAGAGAGAATTGTGGGTACCTGTGGTTGAGACAGCATGTCCAGACTCCAGGAGCACATCTTTCCATCAGTAGAGATGCTAATGAGGTTATGAGCGTTCTGTGTGCCAACCACATTCACGCAGTACACTGGGTGCTGGAAGAGAAACACAACAGTAAGGTTAGGGCAGGGCTCCAGACTGAGACCAAATGGATGCATTTTGCGGACATTTTTCCTGTCGGTACGAGCCAAATTTGATTTAGGTCAGCAACCACAACGTTGCCCAGCATCAAATGAAAGCAGAATGAAACTGCGCTACTCATTTGTGCTTCACGGACCGTTTATTAATTCGGATCGATAATCGCTTCGGTACATCATTATTACACGTCGCTGCGAGATCCAGTGAAAACATTCAGATTCGGCGCAGAGTTCTCTGTTATAAACCATAAATATCAGATCAAACATCACTGACGTGAAAACCAGGAGAAACATTGTTCCAAGAATGAATATAGAAGGCTTTAAGTCCACAAAACAGCAACATTCACCATGGATTTAATGTAGAAACACTAACCGTAACTATTGTATTGTGACAGAAATACTCAAAGACTACACATCTTTTTTCCAGCACGTCAAAACTATAATATCATATTTACAGTGATGTGAATAAGTTTGGACACCCATGCTAAAGTTTCCTAAAAAGAGGAATATCATCTTTTGGATATTGATCTTAATGCCTTAATTAGAAAAATGAGGAAAACTCCAACCTTTAAGGACACCAGTTTTCTTTGTGGATGAATAATGTATCATAAATAAATAAATGTTTTTTCCTTAAAATACAGGGTGCATAAGTCAGGGCCCCCCTATGTTAAATTTCCATAGAGTCAGGCAGATTTTTATTTTTAAAAGCCAGTTATTTCATGGATCCAGGATAATATGCATCCTGATAAAGTTTGTAAAATTAAAATATCCCCACATCATCACACACCATTCACCACACCTAGAGATTGGCATGGGGTACTTTCCATAAGATCATCTTTCAATGCAAATCAAACCAGCTATTTGGCTAACTGAAGTAAAACCATGCCAATCTCTAGGTGTGGTGGAAGGTGTGTGATGATGTGGGGATATTTTAATTTTACAAACTTTATCAGGATGCATATTATCCTGGATCCATGAAATAACTGGCTTTTAAAAATAAAAATCTGCCTGACTCTATGGGAATTTAACATAGGGGTGTCCTGACTCATGCACCCTGTATTTTAAGGAAAAACATTTATTTATTTATGATACATTATTCATTCACAAAGAAAATTGGTGTCCTTAAAGGTTGGAGTTTTCCTCATTTTTCTAATTAAAGCATTAAGATCAATATCCAAAAGATGATTTTTTTATTCCTCTTTTTAGGCAACTTTAGCATGGGTGTCCAAACTTATTCACATCACTGAAATGTTATTTTTAATGTGATGACCAAAACGTTTTGTGTTCATCCTTCAAAGATTGTCCCCATTTATAAAACTAAAAGTTTCAAGATGAAGGAAAACGCACTTATTTAAAGACTTGACTGCGATTTCACGTTATTCATTTTAAATAGTGTGTAATGTTGCTGTTGGTGCATGAACAGTATCTGCAAAGTTGCAGCGCTGAAAGTTCAGTGTAAGCAGAGATATCGTCTTTTAAAAATCAGGAAGTTTAATGCCTACAAAAACGACTAGATTGGGTCTACAGCTGGGGTTTAGACGTAACTAACCCACACATTTACATCAACCCTCCCTGCGGAATATGCAGAAAAGGGCATCGTGGCTCGTCGAGTGTGTTGTTCACGCAGCTGTCAGGTCTTCTGTGTTCGAGCTTCCCACAGACGCTGTACTTCGTCAACAATGGATACGATTTATGTTTGATTATGTTCCTAAAAAATGACGTTTGTAATCTAGCTCTCTGTGCAGCGCATTTACGAAAGACAGCTTCCAGAATCTCCACGAGTTCAACACCGGATTCAACAAGAAACTGTTACTAAAACATGAAGCAGTTCCAACTTTAAAACCAGAGGCAGCAGTTGTTGGGCCACAATCTGTCAGTAGGCTAAGACTTCATCATTTGAAATGTATTTGCATGTATAATTTCAGACGTAATTTTTTAGTTTTGGCTTTATATCCACTTAGTTATGCTATTTCGTGTCTACGACAAATGCGCACATTAGGCTACAAACATTTTGGACCAGAATTTGTATATGTACTAATTTTATAAATGTATTTTTCATGTATATACTATACACTAGATGACTTTATTTATCGATTTGATCAAGAACGTAAACCAATGCTAACGCTGTTTGTGTATATAGTAGCCAGTCGGTTCGATGCCATTGTGTAAAACAAACGTGCATCAAAAAGTAAAAAAAATATATAGGCAAATTACCATTCAGAAACGTTTAGTTAGAGCTGTGTGTGTTGAGGTTTTGCTTGACTCTCTTCATCGCCGCTTTCTGGGTCTGCTTCTGCCTCATAGAGACTGATACTGCAGTATCGACACTATTATGTACATTTGAGAGGAACACATGTCCAACTCTCGCCCGTAAAGGTAATGGACGTGAAGTATCAGGACAACGTGCACTACAATTTAGCCAATCACAACACACCGGCCCAAACTAACCAATCTGAGCCCACTGCCTGTTTCTGGGGGAGTGGTTTCATTGAATCAGGATGTAAACTGATCGTTCAAATCACAGAGGAGAAAGTGGCTTAAAATAATGGTGAAATTTATGAAAAATAAGACATTTAAAAACAAAACCACAAATACATGTTATATTGCACCCCATAAACACAATCATGCAAAGAAAAAAAGCAGTAACCCCCCCCCCCCCCTTTAAAACAAAACAAAACAAAAAACGTTTAAATTAAAGTTGTAACCAGTAGGTGGCTGCAGAGGACACTTATTTTTGCTCCCTGATATCTATTTCATCATCACTCGTTTTGCTTTTGAATTAACATAATTAAAGTTAATTTGATCTACACCTCAAATTAAGCTCAGTGCTTTTTTGTCAGTCCTAATAAACACTTTTTGGTGTGCTCCTAAAGAAAATGTTAGTCTGGACCTCTGAGTTAGGGTGTCAAAAATAATAAAACAAATGTGAAAAATAAGTAGTATTTTGTTTTAGGACATCACAGTTTTCATATCTCAAGATTCTTGGACCGCAGCTACTGCTTCACCTCCTTTTCTGCATGGTGTGTGTGTGTGTGATGCCATGTACCGTGTGGGCCGCAGCAGAGAGAGGGGTCCTCTGGACAGGGGTGCGCCTGTTACTTCTGTTGTCCCACAGGACGATCTGTCCTGAATAAGTGCCACCGACAACCAGGTTAGGATGAAACTTTGCAAACGATGCGGACATGACCGCAGACTACAAGAGAGAGAGAGAGATACAAAGATATTAAAAGACATAAGAGTAATCCATATGAATCTTGTTTGCCACGTGAGAACAAACCTTATTGGTTCTTGCGGACGCTCAAACTTACCGGAGTGACGTGAAAACAAAACTCATTGGTTCTCACACATCAAGCAAGCAGATTTAACCCTTTGTTTACCATATCTGATGTGCTTCATGTATGAGTTGATCAATGTTCATCACACTCTCCAGTTTACCAGCCACAACAAACTCGGCTAAGAAGATGGAAAAGTAACAAGTCCAAACTTCTGTGTGTGTGTGAGGGAGCGAGCTGTGCATCCGTTCCTGAGGTCAGCACATGTGGTTCTACTCAGGTTACAACGTCTACAACGGATCCCCTCAGGCAAAACACACACTGAACATACAGTAACACTCAACAAATACACCACCACTGAGATAAAACCTTCCAAGAAATGCCACAATCTGCTTCTGTAAAGCATGATTACAATCTCATGACTTTACTGAGTGTTTAAATCAACTAAGGTCAACAGAGTTCACAATGGGAATTCTCATTGTATACAAGTTCTTACAAATTTCATATAAAAATAACTTAAATAAAATTTCTCATAAATATTGGTGATGGTTTTTTTTGTGCATCACACTAGTTTTGCTGTGAAAATTCATTTTGTAACGGTCAATGGTTATTAACACAGCAGCCTCAATAATGTTTAAATCTTTGCACATATACAAGTTGCTAAGAAGTTATTAATTACATACATTTTGATTTTAGTTGAAATTATTCATGTTAATTTAGTGCAATTAATTAAATTTAGTGCTATATGAACACACAAAAAAATCAAGGAGATGATTCTGATTTGTTAAAGGGTCGTAAAAAAAAAGTCACACTTAGCTTCCTCCCGGTCAAAAATGACCGACATAGGAAATTAATGGGAAATACGAAAAAATAGGAAAACTCAGAGAAACTTTTGGTGGTACAAGCTACAGATCAGCAACTGTGCAGAAAAAAAGTGTACAGCAATGAAGGGGTGACACTCTAGAACATCAAGAGTGCAAATAAGACCACCCCCCCCACACACACACACACACACATACACAGATAAACTGGCAAGACTGCACCAGCAAATTTGTAGAATATGAAAAATAAAATCAATAAATGAGAAAAAAATCTTGCTCAAATGCGCACTCACACACACACACACACACACACAGACAGACATGAGAAATCATGTCTAAACCAACAAAAAGCCTTTCTATGTATTTGAATAGGAAGCTATAGGCAGCCTACAGGCTGTACAGGACATTGCACACATGTAACTATTTTTTACAGCCACTAGGTACTTGAATTATTATTTTTTTTATTAGCTGACACTCTATTTTGATGTGAAATGTTGTATTTATTGAAAAAAAAATAAAAAAAAATATAAAATAAAAATATGTATATTAATTCTAATGGAAAAAATAGCTCATAAAAATTATATAATTAATGCAAAGTATCATAAAAAATTCTAAAAATTCTAAATAATAATCATAAAATATTATAGAACAAAAATATATTTGAATGGTTATCCTGGGAAGAAGGAAAGTAAAATTTTAAGGCTTCGTCCGTTTTTGACCGGGAGGAAGCTAAGTGTAACCCATTTACGAAGAAGCCCAGAGGGTTAATATGCTTTGCTGAGCTGGAGTGAGTGAGTGGAGGCGGAGCTCATTTGCATATTCATAGAACCACGTATACTAAATGAGGCAAGGGTGTAGAGCTACATTCAGTCTATTTTAAGGCATAACGGAACAAAAATTGAAGGAAAAATGTATAAATATGTCATTTTGGTGATCAAAGATGAGATTTAAGGGATAAAATGATTGACTACAGGGGGACTTTAAGATCTACCAAGTCAGAGATTTTGCATCTGGAGGGTTTAGTGATATTTAGTAAGCAGAGTACTGAATATAAGAAGTGTTACTGACTTACTTGAGTATGTGCACGAATGCGCACGTGTTTAAAGTAATAGATCCATCATAAATGAATATTCCCCCTCACCCATGTTGCTCTAAGCCTGTATGACTTTCTATCATACACGAAACACAAAAGGAGACGTTACGCAGAATGTTAGCGTGCTGCTTTATTCCATGCAATAAGTCAGTGTCCAGAACTGTCAATCTCCAAAAAGGACATAAAAGTAATCCATAAGTCAATATTTCATGTCTTCTGAAGACAATAGCTTTGTGAGACTCAAATAAAGTCAATATTCACTGAAAGTCTTCCTCTTCCCTGCAGTTCTCCAATCTCAGCCTCACTTGGGTTCAATTTAAGCATGCCTTTTGAGATGTCGCACGCTTTGGTTGATTGAACATGACTAATAAACACACGACTATGACTATATATGTTTTTTTCAAGTCTTCTTGGGTATTTTCATGATAATAAAGTACATTTTTACTTCAAAGCTAACAGAAATAGCCTTTATCACTGTATAGAATACTATGAAATATTACGTCTCACAGAAACATGCTCTCAAGTGTTGTTATGAGTAAAAATCATGTTATTAAATGTTGCCTTTTGTTGGATAAGAGGTTCATAAATGCTTCTCATGTTAAGAAAGATGTTCAGCGACTCATACTCGCAGCGTTTACAACGGGTCAGAGCCGTGCTTCACTGACAAGCTGCACATAAAAAAATGTATAAATAATAACAATAATCGCAGCCTTTGTGATTTCAAAAATCGCAAAAAGCCAAACCGGTTTAAATGTTAATTGCAATTAATCGTGGAGCCCTACTTTTGATCCATGTAACCTTTAATTCTAATAAATACGTTTTTTTATACAAATACAAATACAAAATATAAGCAAAAGCACACGGACAAAGATACGAATGAATAAACCATGCTTTGAGTTTTTCAGGTCTCTTAGATAGAAAAATACTTTAAATGTAAAATTAAATGTTATCAAATGTATATATATATATATATTAGGGCTGTCAGTTTAATGCGTTATTAACAGCGTTAACACAAACCCATTTTAACGGCGTTAATTTTTTTATCGCACGATAAACGTTTTTTTGTCCTAGCAAATTTTTTTTCACATGCTTTTGCATGCGTCCTGATCCATTTCGGCGTCTCGGGCTCGTCATCCACTCAAAGCCGGCTCGCAAGCCCAAACGTGTGTTTACGGCGTGCCTGTTGTTTTGTTTCCGGTCTAGCTAGATCTGCTTGTGCTTTGGTCGAAGAAGCAACAAAACGTCCTCGCGCGGCACAAGCCATTGAAATGAATGTGTTTCAGAACGTTTTGTGGCGCGCACACTCGTTTCGGCTTGCGAGCCGGCCAAATAGTAACGTTACGTTTTGAGTGGATGACGAGCGCGAGACGCCGAAATGGATGCCCTAAGATTCTGAATGGAAAGTTTACTTTTAAAAAGTTGCCAAATTGTCCCATTGACAAGACCAAGTGATCAGTGTGTTTTGTCGTTGTGAACTGAGCTATTATCATCGCAGCACGTCCAGTCTGAAACACCACTTGATGATGGCCAAGCACACACACACACACACACAGCTGATGCGAATTCTCCGCCCTCTTGTCAATATCAGGACCTCATCAGTATTTCTTTCACCCTTTTATTGATAGACAGTGTTACATTGTGTGAGAGATTATTTATATATGTTACTGTGAAATTGAGCACTATTCCAATGTTATTTTCAATAATAATAATAAAAAAACATTTGCACTAAACAAGCCGATCCACTTTTCCATGTTGACAAGAGCATTAAAATGAGAAAAAAATAATGTAACAAAAAGAAATCAATAGACATTTAGAAAAGATAAAAATGTGCGATTAATCGCGAGTTAACTATGACATTAATGCGATTAATCGCGATTAAATATTTTAATCGTTTGACAGCACTAATATATATATATACATATATATATATATATATTGTGTACAAATATAAATATAGATTAATCCTATTAAGGCTACAAAAGTTATTCAGTCAGTGGCAGTGAAAGATTTTCTCTTTTTCTTTTGTTGTTTGATTAACATTAACGACATAGACCTGTCGATCGGACGATGCATGAGTACCAAATCGAGGTTTTAGGAGGTGTGTGCGTGTGTGTGTGTGTGTGTACCTGACAGTGGAAGACATACTCCGGTGTGGCCTTCTTGTATTTCATGTTCCAGACCAAAGCCACTCCATCAGGCTCATGTGGGGATTCCTCATTGTTGTTGTAAGAGGCGACCAGCAACTCTGGATACTGTGAACACACGTGTACAGGTCAGCAAAACAAAACCTGTGTCTATTCAAGAACAACTTTTGACTGCATGCATTAAGTCTGGTCCACATTACAGCTCGTTCTGGCAAAGAACCACCCACTTACACACATTTAATCTTTTGTTTATGCTGACTATTAAAAATATGCAAAAAAAAAAAAAAAAAAGTTAAATCATTTTCATAGGGACAAAATATACTTTTTATGTATAATATGTCTTAATATGTCATTTTTTGATATTTTTTATACTATACCAGCCAACTTTGAAAAGCACCTCAAAACATACAGTTTTTCACAACCATATTTTGGTTTGAAGTCCAATTTTTTTTTTATGGAACACTTAAAAAAAAACATTTTTACCAGATGAGCTAGAGCTTTTGCTTGTTTTAAGAGGATCAGTAATATTTTCAACATTTCTGACGGTCTCAGACACATTCACTATTACCATCATCAGAAATACATTTCGAAATATAGTGAAGATAATTCAGAGAAAATCAACAGTGAAAAAATAATATATAACTGTGTGTGGCTCTGAAATTATGAGTGTAAAACTGTGTTCTGTGATTTTACAGATCCTAAACTTCATCCAAACAGGGTCAAATTGACCTGTAAAATTAAAATGACTAGTACATCTGTAGATTGAATGGTTTTGAAGATCAGTCAAGCATGTCAAAACCTTTAAATGGTACTGTACTAAAATAAATAACCATTCATGGTTACAGTAAATGACATATTACATCCATATTATATCACTTATCAAAAGTATAATTTATTAGAACTTGATCAACAGCTAATGTCATGTGTTATTATCATTGTATGTATGTAAGTTTTGAGGTAACGTACCAGTGGGGACCAATCCAGACAAGTTACCACTCGCTGTTTGGACCAGCGGTCATCAACAAACTTTCTGTTCAGAGACAGTTTTGCCCCAGCCTGCATCTCACTAGATATACACACACACACACACACACATATCTCACATTAAACAGTGCATATGAGCAGCTCTGTAAAAAAATTATTTTTTTAGGGCTGATGGTTACCCCTCCTTCTCCTCCATGTCCCGGCCGCTGTAGTCGAAGAAAACATCCACGCGTTCGGACAGAGCGCGCTCCACGATGCGTGTGCTGTGATCGAAAAACTCCATGAACTCCTCCGAGTGCAGAATCTGTAACTTCTCCTCTTCTGTTAGCTCATGAGGGGACGCTACACTCACCAACAGACACGGAAGAAACGACAGGTGTGGAATTGGACGAAATTAATTCCATTTATAAATCAGAATACTTTAATTCTTGATTCTAATGGTTAAAGGGATAGTTCACCAAAAAATGAAAATTTGCCCAGGATTTACTCTCAAATCATCCTAGGTGTATATGACTTTCTTCTTTCAGACGAATACAATCAGGAGTTATATTAAAACATTCATCATAAAAGTGCACCTATCATAATAAAAGTGCATCTATCCAAAATAAAAGTGCATCTATCCATGATAGAAGTGCATCTATCCATGATAAAAGTGCATCTATCCATGATAGAAGTGCATCTATCCATGATAAAAGTGCATCTATCCATGATAAAAGTGCATCTACCCATCATAAAAGTGCATCTATCCATCATAAAAGTGCATCTATCCATGATAAAAGTGCATCTATCCATGATAAAAGTGCATCTATCATCATAAAAGTGCATCTATCCATGATAAAAGTGCATCTATCCATCATAAAAGTGCATCTATGCATGATAAAAGTGAATCTATCCATGATAAAAGTGCATCTATAATCATAAAAGTGCATCTATCATCATAAAAGTGCATCTATGCATGATAAAAGTGCATCTATCTATGATAAAAGGGCATCTATCCATCATAAAAGTGCGTCTATCCAAGATAAAAGTGCATCTATCCATGATAAAAGTGCATCTATCCATCATAAAAGTGCATCTATCATCATAAAAGTGGATTTCATAAAAGTGGATCTATGCATGATAAAAGTGCATCTGTCCATCATAAAAGTGCATCTATCCATGATAAAAGTGCATCTATCCATCATAAAAGGGCATCTATCCATCATAAAAGTGCATCTATCCAAGATAAAAGTGCATCTATCCATCATAAAAGTGCATCTATCATCATAAAAGTACATCTATCCATCATAAAAGTGCATCTATCAATGATAAAAGTGTCCCAAAAGAGGAGTTAATAAAGGCCTTCTGAAGAGAAGTGATGCATTTGTGTAAGAATAATATCCATATATAAACTTTATAAAGTAAAATAACTAGCTTTCGAACAGAAACAACCATTCACTGCCATTATAAAGCTTGGAAGAGCCAGGACATTTTCAAATATAACTCTGATTGTATTTGTCTGAAAGAAGAAAGTCATATACACCTTGGATGACTTCAGGGCGAGTAAATCATGGGCTAATTTTATTTTTTGTAAGAACTATCCCTTTAACAATTGTTCCAGGTTCATTCTTGTTATTCCAGTTTTGAGCCAAGCAAGATGCTTAATTGTTGCACAGGGTAACTGCACATAAGTGGAAAAATTGATTTCGACCCACTGAACTATTGAACATTTAACACACACTCAAGGTGGAAACATGTCCATCACTTGGAGTTGAAATTGTCTGTTTTTCCCCATTGCATTATGTTCTCTAGTTGTGTGTCTAATATACCAACACTACACTAAAAATCTGATTTCAGCAACAACCACTGCCAATTTTCATGGCAAAAACAGAACATACGTGAATTGTCTTCTTCAATCACGAATAACATAATGTCAACAAATATCACTGTTTGGATTATTATTATAGAGAAACATAAAACATCCAAACACACCAAATGATCTGTAATGCATTCCAGTGGAGTTGAACATTGAATACTTTACCTTCCTCTTCGTGTTTCTCCACTGGTTTCTCTTTCTCTACCTCCACCTCTGGCTGTGGTGCTGGGGCCTCTTCCTCCTCATCTTCCTCTGCAACAGTAACATCACACACATCAGCATCATTTACACCAGAGCTGTGTTATTAAAGGACACATAATACTTGACTCTGGGTTAAAGGGATAGTTCACCCAAAACGATTAATCGCATCCAAAATAAAAGTTTGTGTTTACATAATATATGTGGGTGCACTGTGTATAATTATTTTGTATATATATATATATATATAAATACACACACATGCATTTAAGAAAAAAATTATTTAGATATAAAATATTTATATTTATATATAATATAAATTATATACAAGTCTATATACATGAAAATATTTCGTAAATATATACAAGTATGTGTGTGTATTTATATATATGAAATAAGTATACACAGTGCACCCACATATATCATGTAAACACAAACTTTTATTTTGGATGCGATTAATCGTTTGACAGCCCTAAATTTTTACAATTTAATTAATGCAATAGTGAAAAATTCATCGGCTTCAGCCAATAATTTTCATTTCGGTGCATCCCTATATTTAAGATAAGATAAAATGACCCATCACTGCTGGTAACACACAAGTGATGCTGCTAACAGAACAAGCAGGTGATAGATGTTCATTTCACCCTGAATATCAATTGAATAGTTGGAAAAAAAACCAAAGTGAATCAGCCACCAAATTTAAAGTCCAGGACTGCTGACAGACAAACGAGAACAACCTGTAGAGAGTGTGTGTATGTGAACATTGTATCTAGTCTGTCTTGTCTCTAATCTACAGGGGTCTTCACCATCACAGAGGTCTTAACCAACGGCCCGTCCAACAGACTCCCGGTGTAACTGAGACAGGGACTATTCAGCAGCGCATCCCATAGACACACGCAGGGCAGCAGGTGCCAGTGGCTGAGACAGCTGACGGCTGCCTGTGTGTGTTAGGCAGATGGTTTTGCAGCAATTGTGTGTGTGGTGGCACGGAGATGGCACAGGGGTTTCTGCCTGACTGCTTTTAGTCAAGACTCTCTCCGGATACACAAGTTCATGCAATTAGAGAGTCGGCAGGGGGTCCATGGGCCGCTATTCACCCCCAAACATGAGCAGCTAAATGGAGCCCTGACCAGCTGTAAGCCACACACACACACACAGCTCATCTCCGACAATACTGACACCACTAAAGCCTGAACAAATGCAAAAAGCTCAGGGCAAAAAAAAAAAAACATGTTAAAAAGACCTCAAAGGAATAGTTCCCACAATGCAACATCTTCGTTTATTTGCCTTCATGCCATTCCAAACTCGTAAGACTTTCTTTCCTCCATGGAAAAGGAGAATATCTGCAGAATATTATGGCCCCATTACATTTTCAGTAAAATAAAAAAAAAGAAATGGGGCCAGGTCTGTCAAGCTCTGAAATGAAAAAAATTAACCACCATAAAAATAGCATTAAAAATAGTCCATATCAGGGTGCATGACTTTGGGATGTAAAAAAATATTTTTTAAAAATGCCATTTTTTCTGATAAATGTTGCAACTGTGATTTTAAATATCTTTTAAATTTGATTTTTTTTTTAAAAATAAGTAAATAATAAATGTTATTACAAGATAAAATCTAAAACATAATAAAAATATTAATATTTTTCAAGTTTTTTGTTATTAAGAATATATACATTTCTTGCATGATACAATGAGCAGAATAATTGCAGCAGAATGAAAATAGTGGAAATAAGATTAGAAAGCATGAATCTCGCGGTGTCAGAATGGCAGAATATCCGAAGCAAGACGCAACCCATACGGCCACGATGTCAGATAGTCTGAAGGGTAAACTAAATAAATGATTTTTGAATAATTTGTCACAAAAGTGTGCATTAAATGCGCTAAACATGAGCTGCTTCTTTTCCTTTGTATGGCATTAGGCGAACCCACTCGAAGGTGGATAGCGCCACCTACTGCATAACACCGGTGTTTACATGTGACGAAAATGGTATCGCATTCAAAAACGTGCACTTTGAAGCCTGTTTCTGGTCCCCAAAACGCCATTGCTGTGTAAATTAATGGCGATAACCCATAAAAAGTTGATTGTTTTTAGTTGAAAACTTGTGTCACGTAAACGTCCCAAGACGTTTGAGTTTTTACTTCTTTCTGCTCCTTTTCAATCATGTTAAATGCTGTCGTTGTATTTGTTTTAAATGAATGAAATAAATAATACATAAATATAGTTCTGTGAGGTATTATACTGACAAAAACTTCCGGCTTTTTTACGTACATCGAGAAATGCATTCAGTAAATGTGTTTCCATCGTAGTTTGAGCGCATTGGTTTTTGCAATTGAGCGCATTCGTTTCTTTATGCACGTTTTTAGAATTGATGAGCATCTTGGCATTTCCATTCATGCTAGGTCCCAAAATACGCATAAAAAATAGGATGGAAACATAACTACTGACTAAAATAGGTCACGAGTTCCTCACATGTACAGTAAACATTTGAAGAGCTCTTTTCCAAAACGCGATAAACGCCATTTTGAAAAACAAATGAGTTTGTCGTGTCATTCTGCTGTGTACAGAACCCATTCACTGCTCCATCAACGTTTCATACCAAATCGCTATATTTCCTTGTTTAAAATGTACCGCAAGATGCAGTTTCTTAACAAATTGTGATAAGCGGCAAACCTATTTTTAGCCTAAACGCGATAAATCCTCGAATTCGATGAGCGTTCTACGCAATCCAGCACTCTGAACCCGAACAGAGGTTTGTATATGTTCATTCATTCCTCAAAATGAGTCCTAGTTTTCTAGTCGACTAGTAGTTGTCCATTTAAGCTATTTGTCTAATCACATATTGATTTAATTAAATGGGAGAGAAACCATAATTAGCGTTTTTAATTGCCTATTCCGCATCTCATCGCATGCATAAAGCTTGCCACAAAGAACCGGCAAAAGTAATGATTATGCATGAAACATTTGAATTGTTTATTAATAAACTAGGGTTTTCTGTGTCAACAGCAAAGATAAAGTTGATGATGTTGACTTGGCAGTGAACGCGCATAGGCCTATAGAGAGAAACGCACACTTCGAATTAGCCTACATACGCAGAGAGTAGCCAATTTATTGTAGACATTTAAAGCTTTCTATAGTTCTCAGGTCTGTGAGGCAAGTATCGCGGTGTTTCGTTTCATATTCATATGCGCTCCAGTTCACGCGCACTCCTCTGTGTCCTAATTATAATGTCCGATACATTTGCTTCTCAAGTCAATTTGTTGATGGAACATTTATTAAAACGAAGATACAATTTATACGAAACGAAATTCACTTTAAAGACAGGCTTTCTACAAAACAAAATGGTCAAAATCATGCCTGACCCACTCCAAATGTTTTCCGATATATTTTGATCCTATCTTACTCATCTCATGCGGTTCCCTTTTCATGTAGCCTACTCAACATAGATGAAATAAAAAAAAAAATAAGTAACATAATAGTATTTAAACATAATTGTGAAATTTAAACATAATTAAACATAATTAAATCGCTTTGCTCACATGCTATGTAGACTATACAAGCATGTGTGTGTGCATGCGGTGGAGGGGTGCCTAACTGCCCATTCCTACTTTTGAATATCGTTATTATTATTGATCATTTTAAATAATTCGTTTTTTCCATGCATATGTAGTGGACAAATTGGTACTATTTGTTACAGGTTTGACACTTTACTAAAAATAACTCTGAATGTATTACTAAATAACTTTACAAAACAATACTATCATTACTTTTTTCAGGTTGTGTTACTAAATTTAATTATATGTTGCACGTTCTCTTGTTTTTTTCTGTTCTTTTAAAGACAAACCATGCATTTTTGAAAAAAAAAATGGATGGATTTATAGCGTTCATAAACAATATTATTGTTTAATTTAATAATCATTGTTCAACATGTTCAGACTGAACCAATAAAACATTTTAACAGGATAATTTGAATATTCACAAAATGTGTGGGTCTAGGTAAAAATTTTATTTCCCTGAAAACTATTGAAATGGATTTATAGCGTTTAGGAAAAAAACATTTGTATTTCTATTAATCATGTAGCCCAAGTCTATATTAAACCATAAGACAAGCTTTTCTGAGAGCAACAGAATGAAATACAAGTCATTATTCACTGAAAATACTCTCCTCCGCCACATCGCTCAAATGAAATAAGGCAGCCACGACATAAAGCATTTTTCTAGTCAGAATGACTTCTTGAACCATTTTAAATGGGAATACTATCAGTAAATAATGACTTTCAATGTTTTCGCCACACAAAGCTCTGACCTCAGCGCTACAACTAAAGACTTTGTACATCCGTCTAATGGACTGCTTTTGGTTGCCATTTAATAGTAAATAAAAGTGGCAAGGCCATTCTTCAATGACTCTCACCTAATGACACAAAGCCAAAATAATGAATTTCCTTTAATTTCTCGACAAACGGTGTTCATATTCGATAATCAAAACGATGGTTTTGTGTTACGCCCATGTTAATGGCTTGCTGTTTTGCATGACCAGAAAAACTTGTTTTAATAGAGAGCGAAATCGCCCTTTCCTGCAATAATCAAAATGATAATGTCATCTGTCAGCTTTTACATCGGAGACGAGTCCGCGGCTCTCTCTGGAAAGGCCGGGGTTTGAAGAGAGAAAGAGAGGGGGTAGGGGGGGGTCTCTCTCTGATGAGTTTATGGAGTCGTTCTGATGACACGGGCCATCTCGCCGTGCCGGGCCCGTACTCAGGAACGAGAGAGGAGAGAAGGTTAAAATCTTTCCTTTCAAGGGCCTCAATCAGGCTTGGAGGAAAACAGTAATCAGTGTCTTTCAGTCCGGGGCCCGAACGCAGCGCGGCCCTTTCTCTGCCAGCCAGACCCGAGCAATCAACCTGCCAGGCATTAGCAGCGGAAAGACAATCTGAAAATAAGGGGTGTAATGCACCTGCCAGCAAAAATGCCCATTTGGAGAAAAGCAAGTGATCCTGGTGACCCCACAGAGAGGAGGAGAGAGAGAGAAAAAAAAACATTTAACAGAATTCACC